TCAGTAGCGTATATAGTATCCTTCTATCTAGCTCTATAGCTATACCTTTACCTATTACTTCTCTACTACTTTATGCTTTGCCTCTTTCTAGTAGTAAATAATATTATCTAGTATAATAGTAAGATATTAGTATATATTATAGCTATATCTATGTAAAATAGTAAGCTAATTAATTACCTAACTATAATCTTTAAGTATTACAGTAACCTTAGGGTTAGCTAGTTTAAGAGTACTATAGTAGTCTTTAATATCTTTAAGTACTTAGCCCTTTAGTAAATGCTTCTATTAAAAATAGGTCTTAATATTACTGCCAGGTTAAATAGCTACTTAATATAGCCAGCAGATTAGTATCTAATAGTCCTAATTAAGCTATATAATATTCTCTATTCTAATTTAAAGTTGTTTTTTCTGTCTTAAAAATAAAAATAGATAAATATTAATAGTAAGTATATTATAAGTTATTTACGTAGCGTAAGGTTACTTTATTTTAATAACTATTATTTATTTTCTATATATATTTACTTTTTCTATTACTATAGCTACGTAGACTTAGACTTAAACCTTAAGTTAGTAAAAGCAATTTCCTTTAAGTCTAATCTGCCTACCCTATACCTAGCCTAAAACTATATAAACCTCGTAACCGTTAACCTTATACCTTTTTACCTAACCTATAAATCTAAACCTACCTACCCTATACCTCTTTAAGATCTATATAAAACTTATAACCTTAAAAGTATAAGGAATAGTAGCCTTAGGTCAGAAGGAAAATTTAACCTCTTACCTTTTAGTCTAGAAGTTAAGATCTAGCTTAAAGAAAATAGCTAACTTACCTAGGCTTAGCAGGTTATACTAGCACTTCCTGCCTAACCTACAGTAATAACTATACTAGTATTTATAACTAAGAGATATATATTAAGCTAGCCTAGGAAGGCTAGCTGCCAGGTAAGTTATACTGCAAGCTAGCTAGCATATAAACCTAAATCCTCTAGCAGGGACTAAAAAGTAAGCAGTACTGCCTAGTATAGCATTATATACTTAATAGCTACCTGGAAGTTAAGATCTAAATTAAGCCTAGGTACGGATCTATACTAGTATCTTACTACACTGCTTAGGTATAAGGAGTATAAGTTACCTAGCTAGCTAATAGCTACCTAACCTATATATAAAATAAAATAAGTAAAAACTAAGCCCCTAGGATAAATAGTAATAGTAACCTTATACTAATTTATATATAAATACTATAGACTAGGGTAAAGAAAGGCATTTTATTTATTTTACTAACTATAAGCTAAAGGGTTATATATAAAGTATAGGGAGGGTAAATAGGAAAGGGTTTTACCTGTAACTACTTAGTTATAAGTATAGGAAAGGGATAGCGTAAATAAGGGGAAGGTACTATAAAAGGCCTAGGTAACCTATAGGCTATAATATATAGTAAAAGCTATATAGAAGCCCTAATAGTTTATCTTTTTTTCTTTTTATAATAAAGGCAGTAGTATAGTTAGTACTTACCGCTTTACTTTAGTTCCCTTTATAAAAGGGGCTAACTAACCTATTTTCTATTACTAATACTAGCTTAAGACTGCTAGAAGTAATCTATATAAGTCCTTACTTAGGTAAGCCCCTAATCTCTCCCTATACCTTAGGGCTTTAGGAAAGGAGGTAACTATTTATATAAGGTATATAGCTATTAACTCCTTATATATCCTGCGCCCTATTGCTTAGTATAGTATAGGAATTACTCTATATACTAGGGAATTACCCTATATACTATATAAACCTACTAGGGTTTGCTTTATTATATTTACTTTAAAGCTTTTTATTAACACTTATTAAGTAGGCTAAGGCGCTAATATAAAAGAAATAAGTATTTTTTTTTTCTCTAGTTTAACCCTACTTGCTAAGGCTATACTAAGGCTATTACCTTATCCTAGGGCTAGGCTTTATATAAGTGCCCTAATAATAAGTAAGCCTACCCCCCCTAGGGGGCTTTATTACCAGTACTACTAATAGGGGTATAGAACTATAATTATTTTGCCCTAGATCTCCTTCCCTAACCTAGTTAGCAGTCTAAGTAGCTGCAGTAAGTAAAAAGGACAGGCTATAGCTACCTTAAGTACAGTATAGAGATAACTACGTAAAACCTAAAGCAGCTTAGGGTAGGCTTAGCTACTAGACCAGCCTCCCTAGGCACCCTCTTTACTGCCTCTAATACAATATAGAAATAACTATATAAAACTAAAAGCAGCTTTAAATTAACTTAGCTACTTAATATGCCTCTAGAAGCCCTTTTTGCTAGCAGTATTAAAGCCTAAGTACTGCTAGCTTATTTAAAAAAGGCACTATAGCATTAAGGACCATAGTAGTTAGATCCTCTATAGTATATAGTTCCCTTATTGCCTTATTAATATACTTATAGCTAGCATAACTAGCTATACAGGCCTATTTGCCTATTTACATAACCCTAAAAGGTTTACTAGGTCTAGCTATAATAGCAGGTATAATCCGTATAACCTTATACTAAAGTATAGGCTTTTAAAAAAGATACTTACTTTACTACCCTACTGCTAAGGCTAAAGCCTACTAGGTTATATAAAGTAATACATTTAAAGAGTAGTTAGCCCTAATAACTGCTAGGTATACTATATAGCCTAGGCATTTAACCAGAGCTACTCCTTATATATAATACAATTTAAAATTAAGTACTTAAGGGTATTACTCCTTTAGTTAACCTATACCTTTTTAAACCTAGCTAGATTTACCTCCCCTTATATACCTTCTAAGACTATTTTAGTAAGCTACACGCCAGAGCTGCCTTATAGGCTACTTTTTATTTTCCGTAATATTTATTTATATAGAAAAATAAAAAAATTAACTTACAGCTACTAAACTACAAAACCATTTTATACGCTTTTTTTAAAAAGTTTATAAACTAACTATTTTAACTAAGGCAAATTAAATAGTAATAGTCTTATCCTTATATAATACCTATAGCAGCTATAAGAAGTAATTAAAGTTTAGTATAAGGTAGGTAAGACTAGTAGGGTTTTTTAGGCTAATTACGTAGCACGCTAGCTAACCCTAAGTATAGAGTTAGGGTTATTTTAGGCCAATAAGTAACCCAACTTAGCCTTAAACGATTAAGCCTAAAAATTTAAGTAAGATTTTCTATTTTAGTGGCCGATTAATAATAAATTGCCTGTTAATAGTTCCTAGGACTAGCTAGGCCTATATCCTTTATATTTACTAACTTCTACCTCTTCTGTATAGGTTACTCTAACTATATTCCTTATAGTAATACTCCTGTATACCTTATAGGGTACTAACTATAGTCTAATACCTTTTCTTACTATAACCTAAGTTATTAAGGACTAGTAGGTAAATATATAGGATTAGGTTAGTTATTAATAGTAGTATTAGCTATATTAATAACCCTTTTCTATTATTAATTATACTAGGCAAATCCCTAACTTACTAAATAATCTTTTTTCTAACTACTGCTTTAATGCTCTTATAGTACTTCTTTAAATATAATTTAACCTCCTTAGTAATATATATATAATAGTATACTATATAAATTATAAATAGGTACTTAGTTAATTTAATAAATAATAATATTATAGCTAGATATCTTTAGTTTTTATTTAATATAGATAGCTAGTTATTTTTCTAACTATTTACTTATCCTCCTTAGACCCCTGTTAAACTTACCTCTGCTATTACTATAATATAAAACCTTAATTATTATTTATATCTTTACCCTTACTTTAACCTTATAGATAACTAATAGCTATAGCTAAACCTTAGCTATATCTAATAACTAATATAGCCTGCTAGATCCCAGTCTATTAACTTTAATTAATTAATTAATTTAAACTTTAAACTAATTGCAATGCTATAAAAATAATTTTTAAAGGCTAGTAAGCTATATATAAGCTTCCCTTAATATAATAAATTAATGCATCTACTTAAAATGCATTTTACTAATAAAAACCTATAGGTAACCTAAATCCGTTAGGGTGCAATGGATTCAGGTTATTATTTTATTAGTGTCTTTTTTTTTAATATAGGAAAGCTATTAAATTCAAAGCTAAATCCGCCATGCAGCTAGGATAGGAAGAACTTTTTAAAGAGTATTTATAGCCTCTAGCTTATTTTAACTAATTTCTAGTAGCTAGCCTGTCTTAACTTTAAGGTATAATAATTCTCTATATACAATAAATAAAACAAGAAACACAGATTTGCCTATATAATTATTAATATAAGTAACTATAGTAAATCCTATCCTTTTTACTAATGCCCGTACTATATATACTACGTATTGCCTTTATTAGCAGTGTACTAGAAAGAATTAATTTAAAATTCAGTAACGGGGCAGACTCCCAATCTTCAATACTGCCTAATGGGTAAGCCTTACATGGACCTGAGATGATTTAGGGCTGTGTAAGAGGCTAACATGTGATTCCTTCATGCATATCAACTTCTCAATGAAGAAGGTGATGGAAGGCAACTATCCAGGTATCTCGGTAACCCAGGGGGGTAGTAAGGATGTTCCGCGGCCTAAAGAGGCTGTAAAGTAGGGCTCGGACTTGAGAAGAAGCCACGCAAGCTCAAAGCCCTATCCAGGTCCTATGATTTGCCATGGATGAGGCAAGGGCTGAGCTGTATGAAAGACAAGGAACATTATGCGTATACGAATGCATGGATGGATAACACAATGGCTTTTCGGGACTTACAGGATAGAGGCTAGGTAATGTCGTACAGGAGGAGGTAGAAACGGGCGAAGCGAGGCGAGACGGAGCTCGTTCTACGTTTAGTCTTGGCCTTGGCCGCCTCCTTACCCTCGGGTATTCGTGCGATGACCATATTGGCCAAAGATTAATCATTAACGTGTTCCAGTACATCCTCCATGATGCCATAAACTTCCGAGTACAAGGAGGTAGAGAGTATGTTGAGACAGCGAATTCGGTCTTCATCGGCTTCCGCTGCTAACAGGTAGTCTATCCTTCATAAGCCGCGCCAGCAGTATTAACATCAGCTCCTGCGCCTAGTAGCTTCTTAAGAATCTTACGATCGCCTCCCTCAGCTGCTAACTGAAGTAAACCATATCTTTCAGAAGTAGCAGCAGCAGCATTAATATCAGCTCTTGCTACTAATTTCTTCTTAATGCCTTGAAGATGACCCCCCTTAGCTGCTACCTGGCGTACAGTCCGTCCTTTATAACCACCAGTAGCAGCATTGACATTAGCTCCTGCTGCTAGCAGCATCTTGACGACTTCGAGATGACCTTCTCCAGCTGCTACCTGGAGTGCAGTCTGCCCTTTAGCAGCAGTAGCATTGATATTGGCTCCTGCTACTAGCAGCCTCTTGACGACTTCGAGATGACCCTCTCCAGCTGCTGCCTGGAGTACAGTCCGTCCTTCATCAGCAGCAGCAGCAGCAGCAGCAGCATTGACATTAGCTCCTGCTACTAGTAGCAGCTCGACGACGGCCTTGTGTCCGTTCTGGGCAGCATACCATAGCGGCGTACGGCCGTAAGCATCCTCCAACTCTGGACTGTGTTCAAGTCTAAGTAGTGTGTCTGCGGCCTTGCTTAATCCAAACAAACCTGCTAGATGTAGTCCCGTCGTTTTCCTTGGCGGGCGTTGACTGTAATTTGTGTCAGATGAGAATCGCTTGGCTGCCAATAGCGCTTGACACGATGCCTCGACCTTAGCTTGACTCTTGAGGAAGCTGATGATTACTTGATTTGATCTTACATCATTGCGAGCATGATGACCCCAGTTATGCGCGGCGTAATCGTAGAACGGACTTGATCGCAATCGCTCCTCAAACTTGTAGTTCGTTTCACAGAACCCTGTCTCAAAGACGGTGAATGAGAGGTAGGTAACGCAGGCTGTCGTGATTACAGACTCTGGGTGCTGAAACCATCGTTCCTGTGTCCCCTTGAGGTATTCTTGTGTTGTGTAGTGAACCAGTCTGATAATGCCACTCTCTTCATCGACCGTTACCAGTCCAGCGCATACAGAGACCATGTCTCCGATGTTTATCAGGTCGCCACAGTCAAGCTCAGACATTCCCGTCTTTGTTGCGAGGGCATGCTGAAGTTCTGATGTAGTAAGCTGTCTCTTCGCGCACGTGATCCATAATAGGACCCTCATCGCAAGTGTCTTCATTCCTGGCATCTGTCCGTTGATTCTCTCCATGGCTTGTTCGTACGCACGAGCAAGGACTTCATTCTTCTGATCTTCGCCTAATCCTTGACCTTGCTTCCGGAATGTCACCATTGCACTCCGGATTTCATTTAGTGTCAGCTTATCGGCAAGCAAATGAAGATAGAGTTGTGCCAAGAGAAACCTGCAGATCGTTAGTGGCTGCACTACCCTTCCGATTATGAGAACGTACATTCCATCGATGGCTTCTGAGATACCCGCCGTAATCTCCTCTTGCAGCTGTTGGTCCTGCCTGACGAAAGATGGTAGCTGCCCCATGTGACCTTCGAGGTATCTTGTCACATCGCCGGGGCTTGCACGAATCTCTATTGATAGGCTGGTTTCAAAGCGATCCATGATCTCCGGAATGAATCTCGACGTCGCAAAAAGGTTCGTCTCGTGCCTTGTCTGAAGGTTGAAAAGCTCCGAGAGGAACCTCATCCGGCATCCATCGGATGCTAGGCATTCGTCAAGTGCGTCAACGATGATGAAGACCCTCGAATGCATCGCCGCCACCGACTGAAGGAGTCCTAAGATTTCATCGGGGGATGGCCGCGTTCGTTTGGTCTTGTGCCGATCGTAAACATTCTTGACGCTATCTGGCAGGGAAGACCGGCATTGGGTCAGCTGCTTCAGCACACTCGCCAGCAAGTCACCAATCTTCTGCTCATGTTGCCGCCGGAAGTTGCAGTAGATGTACGCGATGCCAATCTCCGAGTCCTTGTCAAACCTTGAATTGAGGAAATCGACTACGATTGACGTTAGGATCGTCTTTCCAGCACCAGGTATACCTGGGCAGAACAGCGTCTGCTTGCTCGCAGCTAGCCAATTCAAGAACTCCTCTGACTGAAGGAGCCAATTCCCGGTTTCTGCTTGCCGTCTGCCAAGGTAATCACTTTGCAGTGGGCCGTAGTCGATAGGTGTGAGCCAATCAAGAATCTCAGCATCTTCCTTTCTGTCCAACTTGGCCCGGGTATGTGTGGTGTTTTGTCGAATTGTGCATGTATCATCAAGAACTGTATTTATTATTAGGCATACGCTATCAGCTTGAACAAAGAACGACTAACCCTGGCTAAGTATTTCCTTCACAGGGCGCTCTCCGCTAACGTCACCTGGCTGAACATATTCCAGAAGTTCCTTTGCAAACGCTGCAGCCACAGCTGCAGCATGCTCCTGCCAGTCTTTGTTCTTGTGCGAGTCTGCGTAATCGCAGATGCCTCGGATGACGATGCATGGGAAGTTGTTCATCAATCCCGCCGCTTCCATTTCCACACAGAGCACATGGCCATCAAGGTCCTTTTTAAGTCTATTTCGGAAGGAAGCATCCTTGATGACCCGGTTCCCAGATGCGATAAGACCGTAATGTACGCACATATCCCTAACCTTCCGCTTCACGATCTTAGATCTATCACAGAATTTGCAGCTCTCCTCTTCCGCTTCTTCCTCTTCTCCGTCATCACTATCCGGCGCAACATCGCAATCCGTGGTGTTCTCGCTGACGTGGCCGTAATCTGCTTTGAACAACACATCCTCGAGCGACTCGGTTCTCAGATACTTCGGCGCCAGTCGTGGATATTTCTGTTTCATCTCGTCCAGATACTTGGGTATCTTGGAACCGTTCAACTCATTCTCCGTCTTCAGTTTCGTCAAAGCCGTGCGGAGGGAGGTAGGTGGATTGTTCAGCGATCCGGTCCGCTTGAAGTTGCCGCCTTCCTCTGCCTTGCCGAAGTCCCATTGAACTACCCCAGGATACTGGCCCACGGGTGTGCTAACCACGATATCGCCAAGTCGAACCTTGGGTGGGATGCCTCCACCGATACCAACCATCAAGCCGAGCTTAATGAGTGGAAAAGTGGAAATCATCCAAGTCGCGATAGTCGCCGCCGCATGGGTGCCGATCTCGCCTTCTGGCAAGCAGGCTATCACGATATTATGGTTGCCGATAGACCCCAGGGTGTATGTGTTGGGGTCATTTGGCGGTTTCGGGAGATCGGCATGTCTTTGATCGAGCATGGCCGTCGCCGCGGTCTGCTCCTTGGACAGAGCGCAGACCCATCCCACCGTGTATTCATCATGATTTCTGGTCTCGGTAGTTGTCTGTGCAGCCATTGCGAGGGAATCGTTGGGTCTTCGAGAGGACGAATGCGGACTGGGGAGTTGGTCGGTTCTGTTTGATGCGGGGCTTCTCGTGGTGACTCGGCAACTCACAATTGAACAAAGATCATCAAACGCCCGGCGTCTTCCAAAGGGAAAAAGGTGCCGATACACCTGCGGGAAAGTGGTTGGCGCGAGGATCCAGGAGGAACTGGCTGGGCAGAGGTCGAGCATTTAGGCTTAGGCGGACAGTGTCTTAGGCAGCAACACAGCCACAGTCCACGTTTGTGTTAACCACCCACGCATTGCTTTTAATGGAGCATGCAGCTACACGCGCTCATTCCCAGCCAATCGTTTTACCTATTGTTAGGCTCCAACTTTCGCCGCCCCGGCGTGTTTCTGACACACAACTGGTCGACCAGCGGCGCGAAGAGCGAGAAACTGACAAAATGTCAGACGCGTCTTGTTGCGAGATCAAGTTTGTCATTGGCTTATGTGTGGATGGTCCCGTTGAGTATCTGAACGTATCAAATAGCGCGTGGGGAAAGCATCGCGCTAATTGCAAGAAATGGGTTGCCGATTGGATGGCGTTAGCCACAGTGCGCAAATCATCGACGCATGAGTGCGGAGGCTGTCACAAAAGGGCGCTGACGAGTGAAGCAGAGCGATAATGCGTAAATCAGCCAATTGCTGGCGGGGCGTAGCCAACTCGCCCAACTTTTCCGCGGAACTCTCAGGTTAGGGACACAGGACAGCCGGCCCGCATTCCCAGCTGCCAATTGAATACAAACAAAGACTGCGAAGGTGGCCATACTTGAGCAACTGAAGGTACCTACGAGTACTTCAACCCTCCATGCTGAGACAAGACACAGGTAGGAGGGCCGATCTCTGGGTCTCGTAGCACGCGTCCAAGACCACGGGTCGAGCTACTGCAACAGCTGTAAGAGTTCCTTTCACGGTGGGAACTCCTGGCCTCGTGCGATGCGGGCCGCACTGCGCTTCGTGCCGAACCTTAGCCCAAATTGGGTGCCCTCGTGTGCTGTTTTGAAAGCAGGTTCTGGGCAAAATTCGCTGGAGTAGCCACAAGCGGGGAAGGCGTAAGCTGAGTGGCTAGTGAATGCAAATTCCCACGTGATATCGAGCTACCGAAACGCATTCCAGAGACGGACTTCGGCTCCGCTGCCTCTCAGGAGGGTCCAGAACAAGGCCCCAAGGGAATAGCCCAGAACAGGGACCGTGGGATGGGGACGACGGGATGGCGTCAGTCGTCCCACCGACCCCCCGCACATCAGCTCCCTTCGTATCCACCATTTCCAACGAGCCTCGCCACGTTCCACTCACTCGTTTTATCAACGCTTACCATCCTTGCTCAAATTCCATTTTGGAGAAGCCAGTTTGAATGAAACCTTAGCCCCCATTGAGCAATGTCGAATAGAAGCCGCCGAGGACCTCGTGGCCGGGAGAGACCTACCTATCCTCTCTGGGGAGGAAATAGGTATCCCCTAGAGTACTACATCGACCAGATTGAAGCTATGGCAGCCGAGGAAGAGAGATGCGACCGCCTTGCACTGCAGGAGAAGATTGCAGAGGATAGGGCCTAACTCCAGCGACAGTTGGACCAAGATCCGACCATCACATTCCTCCTTCAACGCTGCCAGCAGACGCGCTATAGCCTACTTCTGTGTGATGCATCGGAATGCCCTGTAGAGAAAGTGTCGCTTGACTTTCGTCTCATGATACCATACCAACCAGCGACTGCTACTATCAACTGTTGTTGTATGTCTTGACTGTCCACAAATGCAAACACGTGCAGTATCTGGTACGACATCTCGCTCTCCATCCGGATCCGCTCCATCGAGATCCTCCACGTCTCGAGTTGTTCGATACCTCCGGCCGTCGATGTCGGTCAGTGTCGCTCACCTTCAGCACTTACCACCGGCTCATACCTTGCCTCAACAGGTCTAAATATTGCTCGGCTGTCATCAATATACGCCGCATAGAGGCGCCGGTCTGCAAGATTGCTAGTAGGAGGCATCGCAGCTCTTCCAGAAGAGCGTCTACTCCTCCCTCTTCCGGCGCTTCCTCTGCAGTCAATGGTTTATCTCGCATCTTCATAAGAAGTAGCGTCGCCTCGTCTATAGCCATAGACTTCACCTCAACACCGCGACGCGCTCCAACAAGCGTACCCGCAGCGCGCGCGTCTCGACTCGTCCATAGCACCGTCCCTTGCAATGCATGAGGAATGTATTTGTAAAGACTCTCGTTCGTCCCTTCTCCATTCGATCGTTGACCTATTCCAAATAACCTAAGATCATCGGCGTTATCAAGGGCCATCACCCGTCTCGATCGAGCTTCGATTTCACCACGCACCGCAGCAAGCAGATCCGGCCTGTCGAGCTGCTCGTTGGCCCGAGCTTCCGTCCGATCGTCTTAGAGTCGGATATGAAACTCGCTTCGCTATCGGCATGCACCCAGAAGATGGAGCATTCGTTGTCGGCATCGCATCGTCGATATGCCTAGTCTAGCACAATCTGCGTCTTTACTTTGGTTCGCTCGCCCATCAGCTCTGTCTCGCAACATTTCGGCATTAAGATAGTGGAGACCTACCCGGACCCTCCTAACCCCAAGAGCGCGGCGCTGCGTGATCCCGGCGTCGCTGGTGAAAGCCTATCTAGCCTGTCACGGAGATCCGGACGATAGATTATATTCTCGTTGCGGGGGTAGGGCATGACGCGGACGACTTTGGTGCGGGCCGGCGGGTGTTACACGTATGGCGAGAACCGCCTGACGCGACTCAATTTCTACGCTCCCCTCCTCCTCGGCAAGTCGCACTTCCAGAGACTCGAGTACCAGTACGGGTCGTGCTTTGCGCACTTCCATGGGCCGATCCTGTTCGTGATCGGGATCGTGTCGGTGGTCCTGAGTGGACTGCAGGTAGTAGTCTCGGTCGGGGACGACGGCGGAGGCGGTTGGAAATGGGCGGCGCTCTGGCTCAGCGTCACGGCTATCGTGTCGAAGTCTCATCATCATTCTGGACTTCCTCCTGGTATACAAGGTGGCAAAGGAATGGAAGTTTACGATCCGCGACTGCCTCCGACTGATGGAAGAGAAGCGAGCGGCGGAGTAAGGAGTGTTCTGTAAACCTGTTCAAGTTGGGCTAGCCGCACGTTACGTCTCAAATATTATCCACCCCTAACGTCGCCGTTTGTGCGTACCAGGGCCTAGGAAGCGGGATAGCCCACGCTAGGCCTCCAGTGCAGGCAGGGTATAAATCTGCCATTCCGGTTAGAAGTGAATCCTACACGCTCACAAATTGCCTCCCGACAGCGCATCAATCCCTTAGCATCTTTCTTATACCGGCCGCGTATCTTTCGCCTGGCCAGGGAAACGAACTAGAGTAAATGCGTCCGAACCACCCAGAAGCCATCCTACTCAGGTACCTAACAAGCCTCGCTAGCTTGGGCCCGGGTAAGGCAACGCAACCGAGGCTATCCGCGTAGAGCGCCTCTGCCCATATCTGCAGTAGGCACAATGCCCGGCATAGTAATGCAGCTAGCGCTGCTTCTGGGTTTAAAACTAGGCGGTCCGTTCTAACAAAGTTCAGGAGAGGATCAATAATTGACCGCAGATGCAGAAGCTTTATTAATTAATAGAGGTTCTGTATCTCTGCTCGGAGAGGATCTAACAAGCACAAAACCAGTACCGCGACTGCTAATTAGTAAAGCTAGGTCTAGCGCTTTTATCTACCCTGGCGTTACCATACCCTAGAACGCTTCCATTCATTTGCAGTGGAAGAATAATTGGTTATAAGCTAACAAGTCTGATCTGAGGTAGGGCGCACGCAGCGGCCTACAGCAGGCTGCAGCTGCCCTTCGCAACAATTAGTGCTTTCTGTTCTCCCTAGACCAAGCGCAGCCATTCTCCACTTTACATTTTACAATGCTAGATATAAAGCAACTATCTCCTGCACCTATCTATTGAACCCCTTAAGCGCTTAAGGATAGTTATAATACAAGGCCCCCTATATAATTAAATATTTACGTCTGGCCCCTATAAGCATTAACGTCTCTTAATTCTAAGCCCCCTGCTACTAACTAATATTATAAACTATTTATTAAAAAAACAGAAGCTTGACTATCTAGCATTTCTACTACTAAGGTTCTGAGATAATTTATTAAAGAAATACTTAATAAAAAATACACTACATAAATTAAATAAGAGAAACGTTATATATACCTAGAACTCAGTATATAAGCATTCCCATTCTACCTAACGCGCTACTACTATAAGGATTAAGAGATTCTAACCTATTAATTAATTTTTAAAGCAGTTTTCCCTAACCTACTTTTAATAAATTAAGCTATTTATATTACAACCTAACAGGTAAAAGCGCTTACGTTACGTATACTTTATTACATTTTTTACTAATTACTAACTAGCTTATACTTTAACCCTATATATATTATAAGCCTTAAATATAGCTTATAATATTAACTTATAACTTATAATAAGCCTAGCTTATAATACTATAAGTTACCTAAGTATATATATATATTTACTTAGTAGTAAATAGAACTTA